TAAACGGCTTTTCGGTGTAAGTATGGTCTGTACGAATGGCTTGTTCTTCCCTTCGGACTTACAGGAGCCCCCGCCACCTTCATGTCCCTCATGAACGACGTCCTCCGCCCCTTCCGCAACAAGTGTGCGGTTGTGTACCTCGACGACGTCCTCATCTACTCCCGCACCTTTGAAGACCATTGCCGCGACGTGGAAGCCGTTCTACGCACCCTTCAAGACCACCACCTCCATGTCCGCTTTTCCAAGTGCTCTTTCGCGCAACCCTCCACCAAGTTCTGCGGATTCATCGTCTCCCGCGACGGCATCACGACAGACCCTGACAAGCTCACCGCCCTTGCCAATTTCCCCATTCCTTCCTCCATCACCGACGTTCGCGCCTTCCTAGGCTTCACTGGGTTCTACCGCCGCTTCATCAAAGACTACGCCCGCATCGCCCTTCCTCTTACCACCCTCACCAAAACAACCCAGCCCTTTCCCAAGGTCCTACCCGCCGACGCCGTCGCCGCCTTCCATGCCCTCCGCGACGCCCTAATGTCAGCCCCAGCTCTCATCATCCCAGACACCGGCACCAACGCCACCTTCACCCTTTATACCGACGCCTCCATCCTCGGCATTGGCGCTGTGCTCCTTCAAGAACGCAACGGCGCCCTACATCCCGTGGCATTCGAGTCCCGCAAGCTCAGCCGTCACGAAGCCAACTACCCCATTCACGAGCTGGAGTTGCTTGCTGTCGTACACGCAGTGCGTAAGTTCCGGTGCTATCTCGAAGGCTGCCACTTTACGCTCTGCACAGACCACGACACCTTGCAACGCTTCTTCACACAAAAGGACCTGTCTCGTCGTCAAGCCCGTTGGGCTCAGCTCCTCGCCCCATTTCAAGGCTACATCACAATCACTTATCGCCCCAACCTAACCTCCATTACATCTCCATCACCTCCCCCGCTTTGGCCCTCCACTTCACCACCCGTCGACGTCGCAGCTAACCATGCCCTTCATCATGCCTGTTTCACCATCGCAGCCCATGTCGTGCCAGACCCCAGCCTCGCAGATGACATCCGTTTCGGATACACCGCCGACCCCATGTACTCCAATTCAACATCCACCAAGCCTTACCTCCAACGTTCCCCAGACGGTTTCTTCTACTTCGCCAACCGCATCGCCATCCCTAACGTCCCATCCTTACGATGCCGCCTACTTCACGAATTCCACGATGCTGCTTACTCTGGTCATCCTGGTTTCCGTCGCACCCTCGCCGCGATATCAACCCGCTACTGGTGGCCTTACATGGCCCGCACCGTCAAAGCCTACGTCAAGTCCTGCCCCATCTGTCAACGCACCAAGCCATCCACCCAGCCTCCGCCTGGCCTCCTCCACCCGCTACCCACTCCCACGCAACCCTGGACACACGTGTCTCTGGACTTCATCACCGACCTACCGCCCTCTAAAGGTTTAGACGGCCGCACCTACACCGCAATCCTCACCTTCGTTGATATGTTCACCAAGCAAGCCCACTTCGCACTCACTAACAAGACCACAACCGCCCACGACACCGCCCTACTCTTCCTCACCCACGTCTACCGTCTACACGGTCTTCCAACAACCCTCGTCTCCGACCGAGATTCCCGCTTCATGTCCGACGTCTGGCGCACCTTCTGGGAGCACCTTGGCACGTCCCTTAACATCTCCTCCGCCTATCATCCGCAAACTGACGGTCAAACCGAGAGAACACATCGCACTATTGAACAGATCCTCTGCGCTTACATCCAACCTATGCAGGACAACTGGGCATCATACCTTCCGATCGCCGAAGCAGCATACAACAACGCCACCCACGCAAGCACTGGCATGACACCATTCTACGCCAATCACGGTTACCACCCGCGCACTCCCATCTCCCTCCACGGCCCCCAAAGCGCTTTCACTTCCTCTCACCCGCAGGCTACAGAACTGCAGCAGCGTATGAGCGACATCCATGCCACCATCAACCGCGAAAATCCAAGCCCGCCAAAACCCGCTACGCCGCCGCAGCTAACCAGCATCGCCGCGCCATCACCTTCAAAGTTGGCGATCGCGTCCGACTGTCCACAGAACACCTCACCCTGCCGACCTACCCCTCCCCAAAACTCCGCCCTCGCTACCTCGGCCCTTTCCTCATCTCCTCCGTCATTTCGCCAGTTGCATACCGCCTTCACCTTCCAGCCTCCCTCGGCCGCTTGCATCCAGTATTCCACATCAGCCGCCTTCTCCCATGGACGGACAACGACCCAGCGCTCTTCCCCGGCCGCCCACCACCTCCCCCTGCAGCCCCTACTGCACTAGAATCCCCATATGACAGTGCAGATACTGTTGTTACAGCTGTTCGCCTAGGGTATAACAAGCGCGCACGCCCGTCCGTCATGTTCCTCGTGCAGTGGTCCGCTAGTAGCAAACGCGACCCCTCATGGGAACCATACGACGACGTGCACAACCTGCCAGCGCTTCGTGCCTTCCTGAGGAGCCCAAGCTGGACCGCGTTTAGGCTATCAGATCGCTATGCGTGGTTCAGAGCCAAGTTCCCGGAGCATGCCCCAAGGATCGTACAGTTTTTAGCAGAATAGAGCTGCGGCTGGATGTGTGTGTGTGTGTCATCATGTGTATTCGGTATATCTGTGCGTCTTCGTTCTGTTCCTGTCCGTAGATTACACCAGTCAGTTCAACGTAGTGTGGTATTGCATTTCACGTGTGTGTTCGCGTCTGGGTATTTGGGTTCCGTGTAGTCAGATTTAAGTCGTTTTCGTAGCAGCTTTTGCGTATGTCCGGATTCTTAAGCCGGATATGGTAGGAGTTGTGCGCCACATTATAGGCCGGTATCCAGTGCGGGGAAGGTTTTGCCTTGACTCCGGTTCCCTTTTGCCTTCCCCTCGTTAGCCTGGTACCGATTTCGTTCAGGGAATCGGAGAGGCGCACGACTATGGCCGCTTAGTGACGTTTTCGCACCGAGGACGGTGCTTGTTTTTAAGGAGGGGAGTGTGTAAGGTTTTGCAGTTCGTTAGCGCGCGCTTCTGAGACCATGTCGAAACTTCGGAGCTAGTG